GCAATGGGTTATCGGTGTGCGCGCTAATAATAAAAAAGCCGTATTAAGCGTTTTAACACAAACGTTTTTTTCCTTAATGAGAAAAAAGAACCGGGTCGACTAACACAAATCCACGTCGTGCGCAATGCGTCCAGGGCCGAGTTGTTCAAAGCTGGGTTAAGATAACCCCGGGTTAGTACGAGATTTGAATTCAGATTTGAAAGATTAAAAAGCAGTTCAGTTTTAATTCTTTTTGTCTACAAGTTGATTATTGGAAGCTCTAAAAATAAGGGAGAAAATTATCCGAGAAAGTGCTTTTGAACGCAAGAAAAAGAAACCCGGGTTAAATTTAACCCGGGTTAAGCGCTAATCGGCCTTCGAACAACTGGGCCCAGAGGTATATTACGATTGTCACCTGGACTGATTAAACCACGCGAGGAAAGTACCCACGCACGCCACAGATGCATGAGCTCGGGGGATAAACCAAATTTTATACGGGGAGGCTCCGCCCAAAGGTCTAAGCCCCTTTTTACCACTTTTGACAGAAAAGGTACCCCTCTCGTTTACCTCCTATTGCCGACAAATGGTACCCGTTTCACATACGTAGCCAAGAGAGGATAGCTGACCTACTAGCTTAGAACTTTGCATCCCTTTAAACTGCTGTAAATGCACCGTCTTTATTAATTTATGAAAAAATCACAAAACCAAAACGTTTTGGCGACTTTTTCACAGGTAATAAAATGCATCTGTTTGTCCTTTTTTAGCCTTTCTACAGACCGAAGTGACAGATTGCCCAAGCCCTTTCATAAACTTTAACTAGAAATTTCCTACTCTTTTATCAACCTGAGGCCTGAAAAACATACCCCTTTCGGGCGGAGTCTCTCCGTACAGGCAAATACTAACGAATATTGTATCTACAGATGATTTTGTCAGCTCATTAAAACAAAAGTTTCCAAAATCATTCTAATTTAAAAAAACAGCTAGTGTCGTTTCGAAAATAAAAAGTCCCTTATGTTGTAAAATGACAATTATTTGGATAAGGCAGTCGCTATTAGTCTTGTCTGTGCAGTAATATGCATAAAGCAAGTTTCTCAGTTCGACAAGAACTTGTAATTGGNTGCATCTGTTTGTCCTTTTTTAGCCTTTCTACAGACCGAAGTGACAGATTGCCCAAGCCCTTTCATAAACTTTAACTAGAAAATTCCTACTCTTTTATCAACCTGAGGCCCGAAAAACATACCCCTTTCGGGCGGAGTCTCCCCGTACAGGCAAATACTAAGGAATATTGTATCTACAGATGATTTTGTCAGCTCATTAAAACAAAAGTTTCCAAAATCATTCTAATTTAAAAAAACAACTAGTATCGTTTCGAAAATAAAAAGTCCCTTATGTTGTAAAATGACAATTATTTGGATAAGGCAGTCGCTATTAGTCTTGTCTGTGCAGTAATATGCATAAAGCAAGTTTCTCAGTTCGACAAGAACTTGTAATTGGATTTGGGAATTCAAGCTTTTGTAAAAACTGTTTTAATAGAAAGGAGAAGTCATTACGTCACGTTCATATGGTAGCAAAATTTCTGGATGAACAGAAAATTCACTTAAAAAGTGAATTCGCACTTTTTCAAACTTAATCGATCTTACTCAATTTCATTTAATTTGTCAAATGATGGCAAAATTTTCTAGGGTTGAACCCTAAAGGACTGCATTTAAGTTTAGAAAAATAAAAATAAAATTTTGTGTTGTGTTTACCTACTCCATAAAGCAAGCGCGTGAAATTAGGAAGTTTCATGTCGCAGTCGAGCAACGGTGGCTAAGAAATGTACAAAAAAGCGTGTACACGTGCAAAGTTGTTGTTTTGCTAATATAAACTTATTGCTTTTTAACTGTTCTCGTTGCCGTCGCCGTCGTCATTAGGGACTTTAAGATCCAACGACGCGACGGCGACGAAAACGACACTTAAAAAGTTAATTTGTGTGCTTTCAATCTTTATCGCAATTATTCCTAACCACTTACTTTGACAAACGTAGGCAAACCCTCCTGGAATGGAATTGCAAGAGACCATATTCAAGTTCAGAAAGAGAAATAAAATTTCACAGTTGCTAGTTTACGTACCCCATAAAACGCCAAATTAGGCATTTTCACGTCGTAGTCGTGCAAAAACGGGCAAAGAAATGTACAAAAAAGCGTGATGCACGTGCAAAGTGGTTGTTTTTCTTATAAAATCTATTGTCTTTTTGACGTTTTCGATGTCGTCCGCGTCGTTGGATCTTAAAGTCCCTATTGCTTAAATTCCCTATTGTTGAGATCCAGAAATTTTGCTACCATGGTAACTTGACGTCACACTTCTCCTCTCTACTGATGCACAAAAATCGAGTGTTCTAAAGCTGGGATATTTTACCAGCTACATTTGACAACGCTGCTGGAAGGGGCAAGACCTCAGCGTAACGTACCCGGGATTTCGTTGAGCTGGCCAAGGGGCGAGGTTGAAGCGAGGCCGCAATGCATCATGTCACTAAACAAAAACCCATAAGGAGTTGCCTGCTTAAGGCTGGTTTTCACTAGCGACGGAGTCGGAGTCGGAGTCGTAATCAGAAGCGTAGAGCTTATGATCTAGTGAAAACAGCGTTCAGATTCCGCTTACGATTCCGTCGCTTACGCTCCTCTTCTGATCTAGTGGAAACCAGATTGTCGGAGTCGGAAGAAGAAGCAGAAGAACCAAACGAATCACAAAGCGTGGGAACCTGCATTGTGATTGGTTAATACTTCCGCTTCTGCTTCCGACTCCCACAATCTGGTTTTCACTAGATCATAAGCGGAACGTAAGCGACGGAGTCGTAAGCGGTGTCAGAAGAAAATGGAAACGTTCTGATTCTTCTGACTCCGATTCCGTCGCGCTTATGACTCCGCTTACGACTCCGATTTTTGATTTTCACTAGGTTACAGGCGGTCTTACGACTCCGCTTACGACTCGGACTCCGACTCCGTCGCCAGTGAAAACCAGCCTTTACGAGGCTAGCCGTGAATGATAACATGAAATCTCAAACTAATCGGCGCAAGATGGCGGGTGGAGAGTTAAACGCGTGTCAGGCATCTTGAACAACTCTAATCTGTTTTTTTATTAGTAACGTATAACCTCCACCCACTTGTAACTGCTCTGTAGTAGTAGCCAACTCGAAAGCTTGGCTTTTTTGGCTGTTACACACTCTTCTTTTTTTATGTTTAATTCAATGTATAGTTAGCTCTGTTTTTTACTTCTTCCTTTTTTTCCTTATTGTTGTATTGTAATTGAATAAGTGTGAATAAATGAACTTGAACTTGAACTATATAGCACGCAGGCCCAACACGTAATTGCATAAATTGCCTTCACAACTGCGAGGATCATTCTTCATTTGATTTCATTTCCGCAGTTCTCATATATGATTTATTTCATATACATCTATCGCTTTCATTTTTTGACTGCAATTCACTTATTTTTATTGAGGTTCCAGTTACATCTTGCTATATTACAATTTTATTCACCTATAACTACTGTAAAAAATACGAGTCCTACAACTGGAGAAACTGCATCCTGTAGTGTAGAGACGGGGGTTCAAAGATAGCAGGAGTCGTGCGAGTCGTCCAACAGGTAACAATCTTTGTACCCAGGGGGAGGGGGATCCAAACCTCCCGCCCTGGCTCTTTTTCGATTGTTTCACTCAGTTTTCTATAATCACCAAATCTCAGAGTCAATCGGCGACCCTGCCGAGTCTGAAGAATAACTATTTTTCTGCAAGCAAAGATCAAGGCTTAACAATTTTAAAATCACTTTTAAAATCATCTTAAAAGATGAAACAAGACGGAAAGCCGTGAGCTCATGACAAAGTTGAATGTAGTTCTTTAGTTCATATGATATTGAATTCTATCTACTTATCTTTATATGTTAGCCCCTATTAAGAGCCGTAATTTCTAAAAGAACTGAGTGAAGTCATCTCCACATTTTTGTTAATCCGTCCAGGAACAGTAAGTTTTGGCAATCTTTGTTGTAATAAACCATATGTGGTGTGCAGTTTTATGTTGATGTTTTTGAGGTTTCACCAATTGCTTGACGTGAACGAGTTGTACCAGTTGAAAAAGCCCCATCTCTGTAACAATTCTCCAGTTTCCTTCATTAGATGCAGCTTATGTAAGGAATACTTAATATTATTTCACTGAAATTTATCACATGAACCAATCGCACATACCACTGGTATGAGTTGCACCACGTCCGGGGGGGGGGGTACTACCTTATATGGCCTACACGGGGATGTGCCGCTGGACAGGGTATGGTTTTCGTTCTCTCTGTCCTAAACAGGGTATACAATTTTGCGCAAGTCTGTCCTATTTGTGCGAGTCTGTTCTAATTATAAGCAGGGCGTTGGGCCTAAAAACAGCCGGGGTACTAAAATTGAGCGTGTTGTCCTAAACAGGGTATGTATTTTTAGGAATTTTTCGTCCTAAACAGGGTCAAGGTTTTAAACCCTCAGCGGTTCACCTATACCCAAATATTGGTGGACTAAAGCCCCGACCGCCCCCCCCCCCCACCCCACCCACCACCCCGGGCACCACGTGAATCAACACTTTCACGACTTGTATTAACAATTATGTTTGTGCGAGTCGCGCCGCCTTCTTTTCAAAAAAGTCTTAACAGCCCCGCTACGAAACTTTGCAAGCAAACGATGACAGGAACGAGAAATCGAGCAACACCTCGTCTTTCCTCNCCCCCCCCCCCCCCCCCACCCCACCCACCACCCCGGGCACCACGTGAATCAACACTTTCACGACTTGTATTAACAATTATGTTTGTGCGAGTCGCGCCGCCTTCTTTTCAAAAAAGTCTTAACAGCCCCGCTACGAAACTTTGCAAGCAAACGATGACAGGAACGAGAAATCGAGCAACACCTCGTCTTTCCTCTTCCCATGGTCACTTCCGTCACGCTTACTCAAAAGCGATATCCGATCTCGCCCTAGTCCCCTGTTGCCTCGTCTCGATTTCTACCTCGATATCTATCTTATCTTTTCGTTCGGATTTACAGCCCAAAAGTTACGATATTTCCATGCATCCCCTCCAGACGGTCGAGACAATTGAATAAGATTTAGAGGTTCAACTACAACAGAAAAAGGACTGTTTTTGATGTGTGCACCTCGCAAGAATACCGACAATGTCAATTTGCCACACAACTTGTCGACAGTATATTCTGCCAAGTAAGTTCCATTCTTTCGGTCGTTCAATTGTACCTTTATTTCATCTTCTCCCACCTCTGGTTTCAGTTTCACCTCAAAAACGTCGCCACCACGCTTGCGTTGAAAGTTTCGGCTGTCGTGAGAAGTAATAGTGAATGTCGCCTTTCTTCCAGGGTTTGCAGTTCTTATTCCCGGGCCAGTTGCAGTAGTGTTTGCTGCACAGGTTGATATGTCACTGATGTCTCCTGCGCTCTGGATAGCTTCCTCAATACTCTTGTTGGAACGGTACTTGACAGGCTGAAAGAGATCGTTGCATTTTACATTCTTTACAAAGTAAATTTTGAAAAGCTCGTTTACTAGAAAAGCGATTTACTTGACACGCTTAGTCATCTTTCACTCGATATTCCTTTTCTTAGCAGTTTGCGACAACCATATTTTAAGTAACTTATGGATGAGTTCGTAGAGAAATATATTTGTGAACTGAGAAATGAATTTTGGTGTATCTGTACTCTGTAATCGATCATGGGCTACGACTGTGCGCAAAGCTGGCCCATACAATTGGTATAGTCTGAATAAAACGGACACAATTTAGACTTTGTTCACGTGATCTTCAAGATCATCATTCAGACTAAACAAAACAACGAAAACAACAAATTTTATTGAAAATTGGAAATATAACTAATTACATTACTTTCCCACCCGCAAATGGCTTATAAACTAATCGAGGCGGGGGGAGCTGAAGACATATTACAAGTACAAGGTTTATATATAGATGGACTAAATAACAGTGAAGACACTACTAGAGTAAATAGAATAAACTAACATAAAACAAGGCAAGTACATAACGACTACGAAGAGAGGCTAACCTAAAGTATTAAATAACTTAATAAGACGGGATAACTTAATAACTTAATAAATATACTACTCGACTAGCAATGCAGCTTCTCAGAACTACCACTCAGAGACAACATCAGAAAAAACTCACAATCTTCGAGCAAGGGAAAAGCTCGTAGGGGTTGGGATTTTCCCAAAACGAAAACACGTGATACTGAGTCCCAGTTTCCCACATAGTCTATACACTCTATACAGGCGGTGTGGATTATGGAGTGACTGCGACACATGCAACGGGTGTCGCATCCACCACATTGTAAAAAGAGATAAATATTTCCCCGTTTCTGATTGGCTTAAATCCTCGGCAAATTCTTCAAAACTAGTAAGCGTTGACCAAATTTGGATGACGTTTGCGATATCGCAAAAAAGGCGTTATTTATGGTGCAGGATAACTGCAAAAAAGGTAGACAACCGTGACGCCCTGGGAAAGAGGTTTTGTTAGCTCAGCTAAGGCTCTATTGATAAAGCTGGAGAATAATGGTGGAAAATTTCACACGGAAATGAATATACACTACTCGACAAATGAAAACTACCCTGTTCCCAGATCGCCACTTTGCACAGCTCGTTCTCTTTTACGCAGAGAAACTTTTCAGAAAAACGTCCGGGACAAGAGTAGATGACAACTGCTGATGTAATTAAGAATATCTGCTAGAATATTCATCCCGGAGAAAAGAATGGCGCTCGAAGAAAACCGTTAGTCTGGGTCCCAGGCTAATTCACGGATAACTAAAATCAAAATTTGAATTCTCACCATTCTTTCCTCTTCGCTCTTGGTGAACTCCGGCAAAAACTGTGCCTCTGGCTCAAGCACCATTGAGTAGCTTTCTTCAGTCTCGAGCGTGGAGACTATATCCGGCCTGCTGAGAAGGAACTGAACATCGCTCGGAGATTGGATGGAGGACTTTGCTTGTTGGAGTGCATCCTCTAAAAATTTTTGGTTTACTCGCAACTGCTCTAGCTGCCTCGTTAGGATGGATACCTTCTGTTGATGTATACTGGACAACTTATCCATCAAAAATTGCTCTCGGTTAGATAGTGCGGAATAGAGCTATAAATGTACAAAAGAAAACACACCCTCTGTAATATCCGCGGATCTATTACACACAAAGAATCCAGATAAAAAACGGTTGATAGGTGCGCCCCGAAGTCTTCGTGCAAAGGAAATTGGAGACGTTTGCACTCAGGCTACAAAGAAGCCTTTAACGCAGACGTTCTTAGGTCTTACGTCCCGTGTGGGAGTCTAGCTACGAGGTGAGTTCGGTGAATTCGTTCAATAATCATGATCCGGGAAGGGCCTACCCTTAAATATCTAGTTCATTGGTGTTAGTTCAGGATAAATATTAACAAATAACTGGTTTCTACATTCCACGTTGAGATTATTTTGTTTCTTTATCTAATTGTTAGCAAAAATCGTTAATCGGAATAGCAAATGCGGATCGTAACTCGTAGGTGGTAAGGAATACTTCTTGCTGCATCAATTTCATTCACCCCAATAACAAAGATATGCCATACCTCTCTAAAAAAGCTTTGCATTTTATCACGCTGTTCCTCGCGAGCTTTCTCCATTAAAAGAACTTCTCCCATCACTTGAGCTTCGGCAACTTTAATCTTTTCGACTTGAGAGCTCGCTTTGGTGACAAGTGCCTCCATCTCCTGTCGGTATTTTGAAGCAGCTTCAGCTGCTACTACACACTTGTGCCCACTATGATTAAGGGCGTAACAGTCTCTACAAATAACACGACCACAATCTAGGTCAAAAAAGCGGAATTGATCGTTATGTTCTGGACAGAGAACCGATACAGAAGCCAGCTGAGGGTTTGCTTCCAGCTCCTCGAGGGAAACAACCCGATGGTCACGACTTGCCTTGTTGCGAGTATGAAACTGTGCCGCAGTTTTGCACATGTTTTCTTGGCAGTCAAGGCAACAGAAATTGGCAGGGTGTTTCTCATCACAAGCTTCACATTCGTGAGAACCAACATGACCTGTATTTTCAGCATGTTGTTTCTGAGCCGTTTCGCTCACGATGTCCAGTAATGCAAAATTCTTTAACAGACCATGGACCCCAGATGGAACGACAACTGGATTTCTGCATTTGGGACAATCAATGGTGTTACCACGGAGTAACCTTTCCAAGCAACACGAGCAGAAGCTGTGTCCACAACTCAGCATCCGAGGACATTTGTTTTCGTCATTGAAACGTTCAAAACAGATTGTACACTCCGGTCCCTTGGATGCCATTGTCTATAACAGATAAATAGTCCAAAAAAATTCACATTTCAGAAGAAGTAATTTTCAAAACGATAAAAATGAGAAAAAGCCATCCCTCGACAAAAGACATCGATCATCGACATGTTTGTTGTCGTTGGCAGTTTTTCTTTCCCCTGGACTTCGCTTGTCTCATTGTCTCATAACATCGTAACATCAGTACAACAATTTGTTTTGTTATGCAAACATCAACGTTTTGTTCATGCACTCAATCTTCAACTGGAGTTGTTAATGATCAAATACTTTAACATGTGACCAAAGAGGTCGACCTAAAACTAAATTAAGTTACGATCGTCTGTTGGGTTGGATGTCGAACTTGGGACGCGTCGAATCAATCAGATCAGTAACAAATTTTCTCCAGAACGAGGCTAAATATACATTATCATACAAGTCTTTAATTTCTTAGGGTTCATTAGGTTAGTTCGTTGCATGTGATGATCGACATTTGTCCTGGAGACGATCTTCAGACGGATAGAACAATGTGTTGGACGATCCGAACTTAACTGAGTCAGAGGTCGAACTTTTCAAAACTAACTCGGCTAGGTTTGGTTCCTCTCATGTAAAGTTCAACGTTTGGCCTAGGCCTTACAGTAACAATTACAAATAAAAGGTACAATTGCCAGTGGAGACACTGTGTTGACCTCTATACTACGTGGGACACCTCTCTAACATTTTGCTCTGTCCTTACGGTGTCCGTATTAGAGCGGCTTGGCTCAGTACTTCATGTCAAGTACAAGTTTTAGTCTGACCTATTGCATAATTGGTAGCGCTTCACACAATACACAAGCGATCTTTTTTTCTCTAAGACTCAGCTTCAGTTTGTTTGCTATGTGATACTCAAGATTTATCTAACTGCATGCAACGCCGGTTACGTCCAATGAAAGAATGCAGGCGCGGATCCACACCGGTTTCCACCGTTTTACGGAAATCGGTGACATTTCAGTCATAATAATACATTTTTAATAATAAGAACACATTCGACGTTGAAATTTGGCCAATATCCTGTCTAAATGACTCGGAAACCCAGGAAAGGGGACTTCAGGAGTAAAAATCTCAAAACATTTCCTAGGGGAGCCCCTCCCACCCCCCCGGACCCTTCTAAAATATTGCGCTTTCGGCGCTCGTTTAGGAAATCGGTCAGTATTTATCCTAGATCCGCGCCTGAAATGCGCACATATATTTTTGCTAAACAATGTCATACTTCTAATAAAGTGATAACAAATAGTAAAAAGGCTGGTACATTGTGAAAAGCCAGTGGTTTTTGATATAGTCAATGGGGCTTGAAGCTTTTCAATTCAAAATCTCTTGTTGTTTAAGAAATAACTGAATTGAGAACTTTCCCCTGACCACGTACAGAATGCCATTAACGCGTGAAAATATAGGAAAGATCATGATCCCATTTACTTAATACTAACGTTCAAGTACTGTAAAGTTGTGTAAATACTGATGTAAAGCTTACAATTAAATAATAAAGCAATATTTAGACTCGACTCGGATTGTCGAGCTGACCCGGCAGAGCGATGGCAAAATTTGGATGAATTAATCGACTCTGTTGCCTTACAATAAACTTTGCCTTGTAGTATTTTCATAAAAGAAGTTGTACGTACCTTTTGTAAAGCAAAAGGCTCACCAAAAGAAGGTGTAAGAACCTTTTTGACCAGTATCTCTCCACCGCCAGCACTTCTGCCTTGATATCACGAACTGTATCGTGCCAATATCGCGTCGGAGCCGTTGGCGGAGAAGGATTGGTGCCCTAAATTCCAGTCCTCACTCCTTACTCCCGAATATCAGCACTTCCGTTTCAGTGGATTCCATTCCTCGCCCCTACTTATTCACTTCCGCAACGGTCTGAATACCTGTTCATACTACGATATTAGGGTTTTCGACAGTTTTTTAAAGTAGCGAACATACGTCCGAAAGCAGCGAACGCTAAATTTTTTTGGCGCCGCAAGACGCGTTAAGAGCGCCGAAGGTGCGAGCTACCTAGGGGGATCTAGGGAATGCTTCCCCATGGAAACTGATTCTTAAGTTCCAGAAACGCTGGAAACAGCGTTTCTGAGTGTTCTATTTCAAACATTTTCGGAAAACTTTTTGAAATAGAACACTCAGAAACGCTGTTTCCAGCGTTTCTGGAACCTAAGAATCAGTTTCCCTGGCAAGGCAGGAGTTTACTCAAATTCTCTTTAAAAAGCACAATTGCTAATGAAATTTGACAGTTAATAGGGGAACGGGGAGGGGGAAATGGCAATAAGTTCATGAGTTGCTTAAGTAACAAAATATGATAATTAAAAAAATCCAAATAAGGAACAAAAGAGGAAATTTAAAAACAAACTTTTAGTCATTCAAGTTGACGAAACTCTTGGCTTTGCTTCAAGGATCCACTCCCTTGTGGTCTTGAGAGATCAACCGTGCGTCGATCGGACGCACTTAACTTCAGACGTTTTATTCGTCTGACGATTAATGCGTCTGCCTTATTTTTCGTATTTATACTAGACGTCTAAGTCGTCTAAGAAGTCTTAGTCCTCTACGGCTATTGACGGTGTCCCTTCAAAAATAGAAAGTGACCGTCCTGTTGTAACATGTAAATAATACAATCTCTAAATTAAAGTTGGATGATGCGGTCGTTTGCAGGAATAGGAGTTATAAAAACAGTTCACATAAAAGATAACAGTTTAGATTTAAAAAAAAAATCAAATCAAAGAGAAAAGATTCCTTGTACAGTACTGATAAAAGCAAGATTCTCAGTCCGACAAAAATTAGTATTTGGGGATTTAAAGGTTTTCTAAAAGCCGTTTTAATTGTCTTTCACTAGAAATTAAATGTTCTAGCAAATACTGTGTCATATTACTATAGCTACATTCGACAACGCTTTAATTCTAAGTCTTGCGGCATTATAATGTGCACGTGGAGTATAGAAGTCAGGTGGGAAAAGGGGAAAAATGGCTGGAGAGCGAAGGCTAACCCAATTCCTCCGTACGAAGAACCTGTAAAGGGCTGCATTCAGAATGCGAGCACTTCTTAATGTGTAATCAACTCGCTTATTAGCGCCTGCAAAAAGAACAAACGACTATCTCCTTCGTCCTCATCATTACCGTCAGTTTTCTCTCCAAAAAAGTTTTTAGCCTTTGAGCGTCACGAGCACTAGTGATAGTAAAAGACCCTCATTCCCCCAGATTTTCGCGCTCAAGGCCCGCGGAACCAGCAGAATTGCTAAGTTAGACTTGTCTGTGAAGATAGCCACTTCAGTGCACCTACCACTCCCTGTAATCTTCTTTGATCAAAGCGGGTATCGAAACTCCGGTACAAATTGGGCTTCTATAGTTCAAACACTAATTATTGGTTTTCCATGGTAAAGGCAAGCGTCGACCCTATCATGTCTATGGTAAGTCTGACGCGAAGGAGATGGATTGTCGAATAAAATACATTCTAAACGATAGCCTTTATTCAGCTGTTTACAAAGGCTTTATAGTTGCACTCGAGGGGCTTTTTTTCTTTTGCTGTTAGGGGATCGCTGCCTTGTCACTAATGCTTGTAAAAACTGCTTTATCAAATTTTGCTCTCTGGAAATCAAATTCATCCAAACCCAGCTAGGCACCCCTGTGGAATTCTTCTTATTATGAAGTTGTAATTTCTTTGTGCAGAAAAAAATCTTTCTTCCTCAAGGCCTGGCTTCTTCACAGATTTTTTAAACTAATGTAAAGCCGGGAGAGGTGGTCCATTCAAAGTACAAAGTGACAAAGAGTGACAAAATGTTTTTAATACATCCTATGACTGTTAGTTTAGGAGGCCCCTAGTGCACTGAATTGTCGAAAAAGAGCAAGCGTTGAAAAACTACAAGGTGTGCCAACCTTTATTGAGAGCTACTTCGTCCGTCAAATAGACCTGCTTTGCATTCATTTCAAATACAAATTCTCAGCCTTACTATACGTTACAAAATCTCAAACTCTAGCCCGCGAAAAATTCACGGTATCTCTAACAATTTTATGGTCTTCACACATGTAATAGTTTTATGACTGGTAATGGAACCAGGTTAATACGGACACCAAGGAGTCTGCCATAGTGTCCGTACTTGTCTATTAAAGCAGGCTCTCACAAAAAAACGTCAAGGTTGCAGGTTTTATCAATACGAAAGCTTAAGCACATTTTTACGAGAAAACGTTAATTTCTTAACTGTAACTGTAACAAGTTCATCCAATAAAACCTCATGATCATTTATCATAGTCCCAAACTTACATTACCTTTTAAGATTTTAAGAGAGTTGATTTCAGGGAAAATATGACCTTTTCATCGGGAAAGCCGAAACTGTCGGTAATAAATGGATGTCTGTAGAACGAGGTTCCACTGTACATAGTTGTACATTGCAGTGCAACCTGCTAGAGTATAACGGCCTCTTCATATGAGCCCGCTTACCGATAATAATTTCGCCTTGGGTTTATGAGAGAAATGAAAAAACAAAGAAAACCTGGCGAACTCACAAAAATTATAGCTTTCGTGTTACCATAGCTTCGGCAACTCTCAAAGATGTATCTCTGCAGTTAAATGGGATGCTTATGATGTGGAAAATATCAGTAGCAGGCAATGCAAGACGATGCCATCCGGACCGCCAGAATTCATCCCGCTTTCTGATCCCCGTTTGCCAATTTTCCAGCCCGCTTACCGAGATCCTAGTTGAAAAAACAGAGCCAGCCCGCTGTCTCATATGAACATATCGAAAATTTTACAATGGATGTAGAGGTAAGGCGAGATCTCGGAAACCAGGCTCATGTAAAGAAGCCCTAAAAGTGCAGATGGTGGTTTTTTTTTTTTGCTTTAGAGATGTAAAACATATCGTAGTTTTTACAGTAACTAAGCCTTAGTTTTGAAACTTCTACAGAGATCCACAACAAAAGCAATTAGTAAGTTCGTGCAAGAGAGAATGAGCTTGGTTCGTGACAATGATTAATCACGTAATTGTTGGCATGTATAACCATGTGCTCACTAAACAAATCAATAAAATGATCCGTTGCATCGAATCAGGCCGGGCCACATGTCTAGCCCAGATCGTTTTGTCTAGATCTATAACTCAGGCAGAAAGTACTGGAAGTTCGAAAAATTTCTATTAATGGTTAATATGTTTCTGTTAATAAAATCTACCCAGAGGAGCAAACAGGTGCCTGTGTGTGCCATGTATATAGTACACAGTCTTATATATGGCAGATATGCTGAATAACATGTTTGCCTAAAGAATCTCAATCAAAACTAACCCTAAAGAGTTAAATCTGAGAGAATTTTAGACTTTACAGTTCAATTTCCCGTCTCAACCACCGGCACCCAGCCGAGAACTACCCTCCAACCTCATCTCAATCTGTACAATTATCCTAGGTTGTGAAGAACTTGGATACAAACGCACACGAGATGGTCTCTCTTAATGAATTTCTTTCTCGGTAACAAAAACGAAAACCGAAGGTTTTAGACTATTAGGTGTATTTAAGCAATAGACCACACTTTCTATGGGTTTACCGGCGTGATAACCCACGCGGGATGTTGGGAGAACACGAGAAAAGCTTGTAAATCACTCGCCTTCGGCTCGTGATTTACAAGCTTTTCTCGTGTTCTCCCAACATCCCGCGTGGGTTATCACGCCGGTAAACCCATAGAAAGTGTGGTCTATTGCTTAAATACACCTAATAGTCTAAAACCTTCGGTTTTCGTTTTTGTTACCGAGAAAGAAATTCATTAAGAGAGACCATCTCGTGTGCGTTTGTATCCAAGTTCTTCACAACCTAGGATAATTGTACAGATTGAGATGAGGTTGGAGGGTAGTTCTCGGCTGGGTGCCGGTGGTTGAGACGGGAAATTGAACTGTAAAGTCTAAAATTCTCTCAGATTTAACTCTTTAGGGTTAGTTTTGATTGAGATTCTTTAGGCAAACATGTTATTCAGCATATCTGCCATATATAAGACTGTGTACTATATACATGGCACACACAGGCACCTGTTTGCTCCTCTGGGTAGATTTTATTAACAGAAACATATTAACCATTAATAGAAATTTTTCGAACTTCCAGTACTTTCTGCCTGAGTTATAGATCTAGACAAAACGATCTGGGCTAGACATGTGGCCCGGCCTGATTCGATGCAACGGATCATTTTATTGATTTGTTTAGTGAGCACATGGTTATACATGCCAACAATTACGTGATTAATCATTGTCACGAACCAAGCTCATTCTCTCTTGCACGAACTTACTAATTGCTTTTGTTGTGGATCTCTGTAGAAGTTTCAAAACTAAGGCTTAGTTACTGTAAAAACTACGATATGTTTTACATCTCTAAAGCAAAAAAAAAAAACCACCATCTGCACTTTTAGGGCTTCTTTACATGAGCCTGGTTTCCGAGATCTCGCCTTACCTCTACATCCATTGTAAAATTTTCGATATGTTCATATGAGACAGCGGGCTGGCTCTGTTTTTTCAACTAGGATCTCGGTAAGCGGGCTGGAAAATTGGCAAACGGGGATCAGAAAGCGGGATGAATTCTGGCGGTCCGGATGGCATCGTCTTGCATTGCCTGCTACTGATATTTTCCACATCATAAGCATCCCATTTAACTGCAGAGATACATCTTTGAGAGTTGCCGAAGCTATGGTAACACGAAAGCTATAATTTTTGTGAGTTCGCCAGGTTTTCTTTGTTTTTTCATTTCTCTCNGGCTCGTGGTCCGGATGCCTTTTTCTATGGGTTTACCGGTATAATAAACCATAGGTTTTTGACCAATCAGATCACGCGTACTATCTCAGTTATTTTATAAAAAAAATATATGCCAATATTGTAGACCACAATCACTACTTTCGTTGGTATTTCCCTCTGCAGCTTTAAACGAGTCCAGTTTCCTGGGAAAAATCAGCATTTGTCTCCGCTTATACAACTAAAACTCAAAAACTAACGTTTAACTAGTACAGAAAAAGGGCTGCTTTTGATGTGTTCACCTCGCAAGCACACGGACAATGTCAATTTACCAAGCAAGTTGCCGACATAATATTCTACCGAGTAGGTTCCATCCTTTTGGTCTTTTACATGCACATTTCTGATTTCGAATCCTCTCTCTGCTAGTTTCACAGCGTAAACGTCGCCACCTTGATTGCGTTGTCGGTCTTGGCTGTCGCGAGAAAAAATAGTGAATGTCGCCTTCCTTCCAACGAATGCCTCTTTTGTCCCCTCGCCGATTGCAGTAGTGTTTGCTGCGCAGGTTGATTTGTCACTGATGTCGCCTGCCCTCTCGATGGTTTTCTTTAATTTGTCAAATGGATCAAATATGGCCGCCATGGTGGACAAGGAGTGAAAACGTGGCTTGCAAAAAGAGAACTAAAAGAGATCATTGCAGTTACTTAATCAACAGTTACATAAAAATGTAATCTTGGTTTTCAATAACGAATGATTTCATCACTGACTTTTAATATTCAATTTTACTTGTTATAAATTCCGTTCCTTAGTTGCTCTCTTAATTTTCATAAACGACAGCCACAATTTTTAAAATTTAAATTTAATCAAGTTTCAGATTTACAATTACAATGATAATTAAACCAATCAATCGATCAATCTGAGGTAGGCTTAAGACAGAATACAAGACTCGTTAAAAATAAGCCACCTATTATTGCATCATAAATAGATCTAGAGAATAAATTAAGTATAATAAAATTGTCTAAAAAGTAATTTTAAAAAGTATTATTAAAAAATTACAAAAGACATGCGACATGAACAGTTATCAATAAAAATTATCATAAATGGACAAATGATTGAGCAAAGTACAGTGTAAAAATAGAAAAAATCTGCATTAAACTTATCATAACAAAAGGCCATCAAATTCTTATACGAAAGATTGACAAGGTATTTGACACAGTCTTCAATTGTTGCTAGAACTTAAGTCACAGTTATTGAAATCTCACCATGCTTTCCTGTTCCTTTGAGAACTCCGGTAAAAACTGGGCCTCTGGCTCAAGCACCAAAGAGTAGCTTTCTTTGTTCTTGAGTGTAGACACTATAGCCGGCCTGCTTAGAAGGAACTGAACATCACTAGCAGATTGGATGGAGGATTTTGCTTGTTGAACTGCACTCTCTAAACATGCTTGGTTTAATCGCAGACGATCTTGCTGACCCGCGAGGATGGATTCCTTGTGTTGAAGTAGCCTTACCAGCTTATCCATCAGAGCTTGCTCTCGGCTACTTAGCGCTGCATGAAGCTATAAGAAAACACATAAACGCTATGATTATATGCCCAGACTATTCCAAAGTTAATCTTTGCATATTGTCCTTCGGCAAGCTGTATTTTAAAACTAATAGCAATATTCCGTGCAAACATTTTTCAGTATTATCCCTCAATGATACCGTTTATCGGCGAAAGTTTGGATTGTTAACTTTTATTTCAATATAAGCAACAGTTGAGTAGTTAGTATTATTCCAAATCAATCACGGTCCGAGAGTTCAGTGGCCCGAATCATTAGTTTCTGCATGTCACATTGAGTGCTTTTTTATTTCAGTCTTATCGCAGTAACTGCTAGCATAAGCCATTAATCAAAAACCAAAATACTGACTAATACGTGTTAGGGTTCTTCTAATAAGGAAATAATTCGACCCTAAAACAAAGACATGCCTTACTTCTCCAAAAAACCCTTGAAGTTCAGCACGCTGTTCTTCGCAGGCCTCCTTCATAGAAACACTTGCTCTCCTAACTTGAGCTTCAGCAGCTTTTATCTTTTCGGCTTGAGAGCTGGCTTTGGTGACAAGTGCTTCCATCTCTTTTCGGTACTTTGAAGCAGCTTCAGCTAGTGCTACACACTTATGCCCGTTGTGATTAAGGGTGTGACAGTCTCTACAGATAACAAAACCACAATCTTCGTCGAAAAAGCGGAATTGATCGTTATGTTCCGGGCAGAGAACAGACGCAAAAGCCAGCTGAGGGTTTGCTTTCAGTTCCTTGAAGGTAACAACGCGGTGGTCACGACTCAATTTGCTGCTTTTATGAATCTGAGCCGCAGTATCACACATGTTTTCTTTGCAATCCAGGCAGCAGAAAGTCGCAGGGTGTTTCTTACCGCAAGGTTCACAAACCTGCCTGCCTGTATTTTTAGCTGCTTGTTTTAATTTGGGTTGGTTGTCCACGATTTTTAATAAATCAAAATTCTTTAATAATCCTGCCACTCCAGTGGAAACTACAATTAAACTTCTGCATTTGGGGCAACGGATGGTGTTACCATAAAGTAATATCTCCAGACAGCTTGAGCAAAAGCTATGTCCACAACTTAGCATCCGAGGAAATTTGTCTTTGTCATTGTAACCTTCAAGACAGATTGAACATTCCGCTCCCTTGAATGCCATTGTCTAAAAATAATAAAAATGTTTCACCAATTATAGGTAAGTTTGAAAACGAAATATAAAAGAAAGAGATACGATCTCACAACTTCGCACATATCACAGGTATTCTTACTGCGCTGCCTGTGGCACAAGTCTTCTCGGAAGCTAGGAAACAACCACTTATGATAGATAAAAATACTCAATATCAACTAGGCGGTTCAATGCTATTACAGAGATAACTGAAAAAAAATACTTGTTTGAGAAATTTTTTAAATGTTTTGAATGTTTTCACCATGATAATTTATTTTTCAAAACGAAATAAAGAAACTTCTTCTGTTGAAATTTAGCGCTTTCTTAACACCGCTTTTTCCCTATTCCTTCAATAGAACTAAGCTCGGAAGTGTTTCAAACAAGACAGTGCACTTCCTCTGCTCTTATTTAAAAAATAATATTGTTATCACTCTTATGCAACATGCACAGGTCCGGGACTGCCGACAGGGGAGGACTGGGAGGGGTTTTAGCACAACCACGTAAAAATTGTTTTACTAGGTTTATTTTAGATAATTGATTCATAACTTACAAAAATAACTTCAGTGTCATTCACATGCTAACCTATGTTCAAACTTTGCAACACTTTTCTGGCTTTGTTCTTTTTGGGGTTTTTTTTTATTGAGACTTAAAAGGTCTTAAAAAGCCGCAACGTATACGTATACGTCATTTGGTTTTAAAACCTTTTGCTGAAAGGACGGTTTGATTTTCGACTTAAAAAGATGGAGTTAACAATTTTTGTTTTGACGGTGGACTTGGCAAGGATAAAAAGTGAGAGAACGTTAAGAAAACGACGTTTGAAAACTAAACAGTGTTGTGTTGTAGGTTTGAGTTAATAATGACTGATACTCAAACTCCAGAGGATCAAGCAGCCGATCTTGACAACGTCGAACGAGACGCAATTAAACGATGAAATTGGAAACTACTTTTTACCACCATGAACATGGTCTATTCTATCCTAAATATATCTTAGCTAGTTTTTTTTACCTTTTTCCAATCTGGAATGAGCACAAGCTCCGAGTCAGTTAACGCCGACTTTCACAAGCTGTAGTGGTCTTTATGGTGGCAATCATAAGGAAAGGATAGCACTATTAGATGGTTACTTACAGCCATGACTATTTTCTTTTCTTATGAAAGGAGTTCTGTTTATGAGAAAAGGCTGTTAACTTTCAAGTGGAATTCATTTCCAGCAATCTATTTTCTCAAAAAAAAACAACTAAAATAGGTCGGATTCGCAAACAGAATCGTCGGAATCTGTGCCATTTATATGGATGACAACAAGAGCCATACTTTTTGTACTAAATAAAAGAAAGCCTACAGAACGTGGGATCCTCATCGACTTTAATGGTTAACAAAGTCAGTAAAGCAAGTCACACTTCTTAAGTCAGATTAAGGTTAATGGTAGTAAGGTTAAATAAAGTCACCAGCTGGATCAAAGGACACTTTAGTTTTCCTTCCCTATTTCGTCTTCAGAGTAAGATCGTAGACCATGGTAGACTATATATAAGAATCTCGCCTTAATCAAGTTCTCTCTCCCAATGCTATCATACAAAGTGATGTTAGTCCCTACACCGGAGCCTGAGTGAACTTAAAAACGAAATACTTCAAATCAAGTGTAGTTTTTCTGAGTTTTCTCTGTTACTGGTAACCGGCCTAAGACACAAGTGATGTTTATTTACTTAATTAACTTAATGTTGTTTTCCACGTAGTTAATTAAGATTAAATGACATGTGTCCCCGGCTATATCGGTTGAATAGCCTCACTTTCAGGCTGCATGAGAAGAGATCGTGAAAATTCATGCGAAAAAAACGCGCAGGGGCTGGGGGAGAGGTATGCCCTTTCTTCCGCCTTAACCTGTCTTTGAACACTCCAATTATCTGAGAGCTTGGCACAGACTGCGGTTGATTTGACGCTAGTCTCTTAAAACTTTGTTGAATCGTTTCAACATTCCAAGTTGAGTGAGATGAACATTAAAGTGACCTAACATGCCCATTAGTCCTTTACTCACGATTGTTTGCTACCTATGTGATACACGCGACAAAATCTTTTTAAAATAGTACTGAAAACTGGTACATTATGAAAGTCTGAGGTGTTCAGGAAAGTCAGTCGCCTGCGAAAACTTTGATTTAAAACCTTTTGATTGTTATTAATGACTTGTGTTATTAATGATTTGTGTCAAGTCTATCCAACGCAATTCAATACAACGCGTGATAATGCAAGAAATATGCCATTTGCTTTTTGCCTAAAATATTAAACGCCTTGAAATGAAATACAAAGCATATATTTGATGTAAGGCTTACATCTGAATAATACAGCTATCAAGATTTTATCCTTAGACTCGACTTGATTTCGAATCATCGAACTGCATCGTCGAGATAAGCGATGGCAAAATAACCTCGAATTAGTCTATTCTAGAGACTTTACAAAATATTTTCCTTGGCAATATTAAAAAACAAGTGTATGTACCTTTAACGAGGCAGAAGGTAGGCAAAATGAGATCTTCTAACGAAGTAATTCCGCCTTGTCGGTCCCCGGAAACTACGTTGGTCATGTGACAACCAATTTTATCTTTGCTGGGGTTAGTGCCGTCAGCCCCGGAGGGTTCATACAGAATGTTTTTCTTAAAGCTTCGTTGAATCGTTTCAACGATCCGACTTGAATGAGACGCAAATTAAAATGACCTAAAATGTCCATTAGGCCTTCACTCGCATATTTTTGCTGCCTATGCGATACACACGACAAATATCGTTTCAAGATAGAAGGGAAAAAAGCCTAAGTCTTTCAAGGTAGTCGGTCGGCTACAAGTATTTTTTCTGACTTAAAATCTATTGCAGTTATTAATAACTTGACGAACTAGGACCTCTTGTGTCATTATCCAACGGCGCGATACAATGCAACGCGTAATAATGCAAGAAATATGCCATTTTTACTTAAAATAGCGCCTTGAAATGAAAAAAAAAGAAGCATATATTTGACGTTAAGCCTACATTTAAATAATAAAGCAATAAAATTTCGAAACAAATCATCGAACCACATGATAGAGCTATGCGATAACAGAAAAAGAGCGTCAATAAGCTTGAATTAGTCTTTTGGAATTAGTCCATTCTGCTGCCTTTTAATCAAGAGACTATAAAGGGGACAGAGAGGGCATCCCCCATATACACCCTGTTCCATAGGTAATTCGTCTCGAGTTATTTTTAACACTACAGATCTCAAGGGGGATTAGACAACAGCCAATCACATAGCGCGAATGTGTTCCGCGAGAATGACCCACGATGAGAGCCACGCGTCCTTCACGAAATGACGCAGAACAAAATGGGAGAAGACGCGGAGAGCGATTTTGCTATTCCTTTTGTCGACGAAAACGACTACAGCGAGATTTCTGCGAAAGCTGTGTCAGCGAAACCGAAATTAAAAAAGAATCGCCCTTCCTCTCTTGTATAGAGCTAACAGTAGAGCAGGGAAATCCTTAACACACTGAATATTCTCTCAGGATCATTTATAATTTACAGTTTGAAGAGACCAATTTCTGGTTTGATGTTTATTTTTTTCAGTCTTTATAGCGATTATTCCTACCCACTTACTTTGTCAATTGTAGGCGAACCCTCCTAAAGCTGAATTTCAAGGGACCATATTCAAGCTCAGAAAGAGAAATAAAATTTCGTCGTTGCTTATTTACGTCCTCCATAAAACGCGAAATTAGGCATTTTCACGTTGTAGTCGTGCAAAAACGGGAAAGAAATGAACAAAAAAGTGTGTTGCACGTGCGAAGTTGTTGTTCTGCTAATTAAACCTATTGTTTTTTTGACGTTCTAGTTGTCGTCCGCGTCGTTGGATCTTAAACTCCCTAAATTGTACAAACGACCGGTTTCAATAGACCGGCGAAATTTCTCATTTCATTAAAGCACTGAGGTTACGACAACTTCGAGTTGAACTGATTTCACGGGTTGTCAAAGAGTCCAGCGATTCCTTTTTCCCAGGTGAGCGCCGACTCATTTCGCTTCAATATTCAGGAATGCTCTCGATCTTTTTACCCTTTCATTGCCTCTCGCCCGACGTGTTTTGCACGGCGTTTGATCATGCGAAACCTCCACGAAACATCCACGCCTCGCGCGAGGTAACTTTATCCCGATTCTAAAAATAACTCGAGACGAATTACCTATGGAATAGGGTGTATATGGGGGATGCCCTCTCTGTCCCCTTTATAGTCTCTTGCTTTTAATACAATAAGCTTGTCCTTGGCAAATATTTTAAATAGAAGTCCTACGTACCTTAAATGAGGCCATGATATAGCATGAAACAGGAAACCTTGTAGCAAATCTAGTTCTGCCTTGTCGGTCGGAAAGCCACGTTGGTCATGTGACAACCAATTTTACCTTTACTGGGGTTATTGGTTCATGCCGTCAGCACCTGTGGGGGAGGGGGGGGGAGAGTAGTCAACAAACGTTTTTACGGGGAGGCTCATCCTGGAGGTCCGGCCTTTTATGCAGTCGAACCTACACTAACAGCCACCTCTATACAATAGGCACTTTTTTGGTGGCCAGTCCATACATTTACTCTTGTTTAAACCTCTCTAAAACGGCTACTGTCTTCTGTCCTCAAGGTGGCCGTTTTGGAGAAGTTCAACTGTACATCATTTTTGACTAAAAAAAAATACCCCTTCTGTATACCGTCCATTGAAAAATGTTGCCCCTTAAACATACCTATTAATAAGAATAAAACGGAAAGTCGTTTTCTTATAACGGGAAATAAATTACAATGATGTAGCCATCCATAAGGAACCGCTTCTCGAGGCATTTTATTAAGACCTTTCAAATACTTAAAGATTTTACTACCCTTTCATACAATTCAACTCGTGAATTCCTTACCCTTTGATATCCCTGAAGGGCGATGCCCCCCGTACCTCCTGGGGGCGTCAGCCTTCTGATTTGTGAAAAAGGTAACTTGCTATATATTCTAACAGGAATGCATCGCAAAAAGCGCTTCGCAATCTTTTTTATAGCTTTAGGAAAGCAGCTTTTACTTGTAATCAAAGAAAACTTTAGATTCGACACTTGAAATAGCCCCTTTATGACGAAACATTAGGGATCTTTGAGGCACATTACTTAAGTGCACTTTCCACCATAAACAAGCCTTTGAACCTTTTTTTTAACAGAATGGCGATGCAAATAGCCTGTTACCCTCTGTCGCCTTAAGCCTGTTAAGATACAATCATGCATTTACTGTTACAAGTTTTAGCGTGAGAGGAGAGGAGATCCGCTCTGTCTTCAAACTTCCATCTTCAGCAAATTATTTCTTCCTGTTATATGTACCTCCGCTTCCATAACAGCCATTTGTTACTTTTTCTGATCACTATCTGCCCAGAAAGAGCCAAAACTGTCCAAAATGTCAAACTTGAAACTTGATCTGAATGGCAACATGATTATTGCACTAATCTCTTTAAAGGATTATTATTTCATTAATGGCAATTGTGGTGACTTTGATTTCATTAGAAATACCAAAAGAGAGTCTCAGTTTTAGAAAAATGTTCAAAAAAATGAATTGAATTCTAACTTTGGCAGCATGTAACAATAAGTTAAGCCAAACAACGCATAATTATTTTAACTTTACCTTTTTAAGGATGCCTTGTAGGTATCCCACCTCCTTTTCAAGTCGAGCCTTTTCCAGTTCATATTCAACCGCTGATCCAGTTTCCTCATTAGTCTTTTTTATTAAATCTTTCACTTCCTTTCCATACTCTGAGGCAGCTTCAGCAAGTGGTAAACACAAGTGACCAAAGTGTTCAAGAGCGATGCATTCTCTACAAACTGCATGACCACATTTCTCATCAAAAAACCGGAATTTATCGTTGTGTTTTCGGCATATGAGGGAAACAGACGCAAGCTGAGGGTTTGCTTCCAGTTCCTCGAGGGAGACAACTTGGTGATCGCGACTTGCCTTGTTGCGAGTATGAAACTGAGCTGCAGTTTTGCACATGTTTTCTTTGCAGTCAAGGCAGCAGAAATTTGCAGGGTGCTTCTCACCACAAGCTTCACAATCATGTGAGCCTGTATTACTCCCAACATTTTCTTTGGGTGTGTCATTCACAATGTCCAATAATGCAAAATTCTTTAACAGTCCTTCCACTCCAGTAGGAACAGCACCCGGATTTCTGCATGTGGGACAATCAATGGTGTTACCATGGAGAAGTCTCTCCAGACAGCTTGAGCAGAAGCTGTGTCCACAACTCAAAAGCCGAGGACACTTGCTTTGGTCATTGTAATGTTCAAAGCAGATTGAACACTCTGGTATCTTCGACGTCATTGCCTACAGTGAATTTAAATAATCAATAATATGCACAAACGAAAAAAAAAAGAAACAAGAAAAAAAGGACCTCGCAAATTCAGCATGTTTCAGTCAACTGTCTTCACTTTCACTGCTTTTATCAGCATCACTGTTCAGCTGCTGGTACCCCTCCCCCCAGTTTTAGGCTGATTTAGCAACAGGACAGGGGACATCAGTTGATGACAAGAAAGCGCGCGGAGAGGACTAAACACGACTTCCGGCGCTCAATTTGCCGCTCTGCCATTGGTCAATCCAGTTGTTTGATTTGCACGCGCCGTTGTCAACTGACGTTCCCGTTCTGTTGCTAGATCAGCCTATTATTTGGAGAAGCCTTTCTACATATTAGTCAGACAACGTTATGCAAAGATGAGATAGAGAAAAGGACATTAACAAGATATATGGAGAACAACCATGGACTGAAGCACATGAAGACAATATAAGAAATCTTAGAAAACGGGTACAGCTGCTCACTTGATCTAAAGCTGCATTTATAAACCTACTCATAATTTACATCAGATGTAAAAGTGAGTCAGTCATTTTACAAGCTAAGTAACTATGACAAAGTTAAAGGTATCTTAAAGTGAGCCTCTAAGACAGTTACATTGTACCCCAAAAGGCAGGAAGTATGTTCTATTGGGTTATTCCACAAAAAATCCACACCCCCATGACGGAAGGCATGCTGGAAAATCTCACCGAAGGGGGGCTTAACGGCTCTGGAAATCCAGATGGAAGGGGGGCTCTGAACCTAAACATACATCCTCAGGGGTAACTTTCAATTTCATTGATGTTTCAATCGCTTCAATCACTAAGTTTTCAAGAAATTGCTTTGCCTTTTCAAATTTTATTATTCTTTCAAACTACAGACCTCTTACCACATTTATTTTCCATCCATAGGCTTGCCCTTGTTACTTAGTAGAAGCTAGAGCAATAACTTGAAGATATCAAGGAAAGTCACATAATTCATAAAAAAGCGCTCAATTCAAGGAAAGCAAACAATGATTTTACCTTGAATTAAACATTTTTCCAATGCTATTTCAGGGTGATTTACCACTAAACACACCTTACAAACATGCGTGGTTGTTCATGATTCATTGTTCGGCAGCCATTTTGAAAAGCAAGTGTCATGGCAAGCGGTATAGCATGTCATGTAATATCCCACTAAGTGTCCAGGTTTTTTCTTTCTTTCGCAGTCATTTTATATCGATGAAGAAGAAAACCATTTATTCGAGGACATAGTTAAAAGCGTACCTTACCTTAAGAGTACCCATAGCTGGCCCAGGTTGTTCAAATGTTGGATAGCGCTACCCTCCGGATAAATCACTATCCAGCACATAAGTATTAGTATAGGGAATAGCATGATTTGTAGTGATATTTGGCATAAATACCACGAGTGATATTTCAAAATTGTTATACGTAATTTCACGAGCCGTTAGGCGAGTGAAATTTGAGACAATTTTGAAATATCACAAGTGGTATTTATGCCTAATATCACGTACAAATCATGCTATTATTTGTTTATACTACTTCCCACAAAAGGTTTGTAATTTTCACATGTAGGTATTTCAAATTAAGCTGAAATACCACTGCTCTAAGCCAATCAGATTGCAGAAATTTCTCATGTTGTAGTATAACGGCAATCAATTACGCTATCAGCTGAATAGAGATTTATCTGATGGATAGCGTTATCCAACATTTGAACAACCAGGGCCTGATTTATAAGTGTTCTATCCTATTTTATGATGAGTGATGAGCACCCACATGGCTGTTTTATGCAATTGAGTTTGAAACCTTCGCCAGTCAGGTGGTGGAATTTGATAACCATAGTCTTCTGGGGGAGGGGGTTCGGGGGGGGGGGAAATTAGGGCCCCATGCTTAAAAGGGGGGGGGGTAAATCAAAGCCTCTGTTTCATGTGACATGCAGAGGCACTGCTGACCAATTTCAAAGGAAAAGATTGAGCATAATGAAAAGCCAGAGGTAGAAGCACTTTGACTTTCGTTCATAAAATCGATCCAACCAGACCAGTTATATTATAATAAGCTTACAATGCTATGCATATGCAAGACCTAAACTGTATCCCATTTGTTTATTTGCGTAAAATAACGCCTCAAACTGAAATAAAGAAACATTTTCTTTGTAAAGCTTGAATTTAAATGATAAAGTAATAAGAGTTCATCCACAGATTGCACTTGAACATCAAAATTTTCCAAACAAATGTAAGCTTAATTTAGCTAAATGCGCGCGACGGGGTGGGTACGCATGGATGGAGACAATGATCCAGCTAAGCGATCGGAGAATAAGCATGAATTAGTCTATTCCACTGCCTAAAAATAAGCTCCATCTTGCATTTCTTTAAGTAACGAAGTTATACGTACCTTGATAAGTGAGGCAAAAAGCTCAATAAAGCGAGTGCAACAACCTCATTAACCGCCATCGCTTCCGCCTTGTTGCCGCCGTGAACTATTTTGGTCACGTGATGATGTGCTAAATTGTTGCTTTTGCAGGGGAGGGGAGGTTGGGATTAAAGGCTGATCACCGGCCGGAAGACAAATTAATACAGAATTCACCTAACCAATCCCTTGGGTTTTCACTCCCCATAACCTGGTCTCTAACCAGTAATGAGCTATCGGTGTCCGCGCAGAAAACTTTTTTTTACATACAGAAGAAGCTTTATTTGTTTACATTCACAATAAATAAATAAATTACAATTACAGACTACCTGCAAAATAGCGGAGCTATTGAGGCAGGTAGTACGTAGTATGGAGACTTGTCTATTACATTATACAATCTTATTCTAATGACATAAATATATACAGTAAGAGAAAAGAACCGGGTCGACTAACACAAATACGTCGTGCGCAATGCGTCCAGAGGCCGGTACTACGATTAACACCTGGGCTGATTAAACCACGAGAGGAAGGTACCCATGCAGGCCATAGAAACATGAGCTCGGAGGATCAACAAAGTTCTATACGGGGAGGCTCCGCCCAAAGGTCTAAGCCCCTTTTTACCACTTTTGACAGAAAAGGTACCCCTCCCGTTTACCTCCTATTGCCGACAAATGGTACCCGCTTCACATACGTAGCCAAGAGAGGATAGCTGACCTAACTTAGAATTTTGCATCCCTTTAAACTGCTGTAAATGCACCTTCTTTATTAATTTATGAAAAAATCACAAAACCAAAACGTTCTGGCGACTTCTTCACGGGTATTAAAATGCATCTGTTTGTCCTTTTTTAGCCTTTTTACAGACCGAAGTGACAGATTGCCTTACTCGTTCATATACTTTAACTACAAAATTCCTACTCTTTTTTCAATCTGAGGCATGAAAAAGATACCCCTTTCGGGCGGAGCCTTCTCGTAAAGGCTAATAATGGGAACATTGCATCTACGCCCCGGTAGATGAAATTGTCAGTTCATTAAAACAAAATTTCCAAAAACGTTCCAATTTAAAAAACAACTAGTGTTGTTTCAAAAATAAAAAGTCCCTTATGTTGTAAAATGACAATACTTTGGATAAGGCAGTCGCTATTATAGCTTTCAAATAGAACATATTCGGAAAGACAAACCCTACACAGTTGAAAATTGCTGACCACAAAACCAAAGAAGAAAATTACCTGTGCAGTAATATGAAAAAAGCAAGTTTCTGATTTCGACAAGAACTTGGATTTTGGAATTCAAGCTTTTGTAAAAACTCTTTTAATTGATGCACAGAAATCAAATGCTCTAACTAAAGCTGGGATATTTTACCAGCTACATTTGATAACACTGCTGGGAGGGGCAAAACGTCGGAGTAACTTCCACCGAATTTCGTTGAACTGATCATGATCAAGAGACGAGTTTGAAGTGAGGCTGCAATGCATCATGCCAGTAGCACGCAGGCCCAACACGACGGACTCCTTTCCTGCGTTTCCTGTTAAGACTAAAAATATGTAGTAAGAATAGTTTGTGGCTTTCTGGTTCGTTCGCGACCCCTGACGTCACTTGCTGTAACTGGTCACAACAGACAAAACGCCATAAACAATCTTGAAACATTTGCCGAGTTCACGCTTTTTTATTTAAATTAATGCCGTAAATGAGTTTCAGTGCTGCCAAAAAACACAATGTTCAGTATATTATTAACCTAGGAAGATACCCTTCAAAATTGAAAACGTCTACAATTGTACCTGTATTTAAATGCGACGATAAGACGGACCTAGATCCAAAATATTTTGATTGTCAAACTTCAACAGTATATTTGAAAGGCTTATGTGTGGGAGAATGATGAATTGCATAAAGGAATACAATCTACTTTACTATACTTTTCCAAGTGCGGCAATCGCACAGGAAATCAACCTCACATGCCATATTAGACATTGTTGATGCAATTCACTAGGAGGCCAATATAAATCAAGAACTACTTTCTTTCGGTGTCATTATTGACCTCGAAAAAAAACTTTTGACATCGTTGACCACACCATATTGCTAGACAAACGTAACTCTTATAGAACGTCTGCGTGGGAGGCTATAACTCTTACGGCTTTTCTAGGATTCATCAATTAATTGGCTTCCTCATATATATCTTAACAGCTACCCTCAAACAACTCAAATTGGCGACTGAGCACATATGAGCAAAGCCATAATCAGCTTATGAGTTCCTCAAGCTTCCCTTTTAGGTCTTCTTCTCTTTTTCTTGCATGTTAATGACATTCATCAGTGCCCTAGAAAATTCGCGCTCTATCTTTTCACTTACGATAACAATATGCACTATGTTGACAAAAATTTTAAACCTCCTGAAACAGTTGCCAATGCTGAATAGTCCTTTTTACCGATACGGGGGCCATATTGAATTAATTCGATTTAAGGAGTATTATAGGATGCCCAGGGGGCATGAGCACATTTTGTTTGTATTTTCGAGCGCTTTTCGGGACATTTTTTGTTAAAGTTTTCTTAGAATAAGATTCTAAGGGCAAAAAAGATCCTTGTGCCGTGTTTGGATGTAATAATGATCGCCTTTTTCTAGTTTAGTATTAGAAATATGGTCTTTCACTGTATATTTCTCGGCAAAAAGGCGATCATTATTACATCCAAACACGGCACAAGGATCTTTTTTCCCATTAGAATCTTATTCTAAGAAAACTTTAAGAAAAAGTGTTCCGAAAAGCGCTCGAAAATACGAACGAAATGTGCGAGTTGTACCAGTTGAAAAATGCCCCCTCTGCAACTGCAAAATTACAATTCTCCAGTTTCCTTAATGAGTTACAGCTTAATTAAGGAATACCCAGTTTAAACTAGTAATAATTGCAAATTAGGGGAGTGCGACCGACCGCTTTTATCAATATGAATATCAGCAGCTGTCTTTATCAGTGTTATGTTTGTCCTCCCACTTTACAATTCGTTACTATTTCATTTATTTTCTCAAAAATGCAAGAGCGCCTGTACTTTTTACATTTGGCTAAACCTCTAAGTAAATTACATGTAAGTAACAACAAGTCAAACACTGACTATGATCCTCAGCATATTCTTTTGTACTGTGGGATGATCAATAAAATTGGCTAAAAATTGGGATACAGAAGATTAAAGTCATCTGAAAAGTTTAAGCGTTGCGTATCACTTTAAACCCTTGTTGTGTGACACTAGGCTAACACGACTCACCCACTTTATAGCACTGTTTTCAAAATACAACGCACCCGGAATTAGTGAGATGAAAAGGTCAACGTTTCACTGTTCAACTTCTTGTATATTTTTCAAAAATGGTGAGAAACAAGAGCAAATACAACGCTGTAAATAGCTTTTAAAACAGAAAAGATGTAATTTGTAATAGAATCAAATATGGTCGATCTAAGCTGATCTTGCTTGAATCCATAAAAACAAATACAGTGTGCAAAACACATTGTTAACATAATATCTACATATCCGATTATCTTAGAATGGAAATTTTCCTATGAAAAAAAAATTAATTGAAAACTGCGAGAAAAACTATAAACAAACCTGTGGTAAACAGAAAATCGCCAACGTTTCATCTGTGAACGACCCTCTGTGAACGAGTGTCACAAAATAGATACCAGCTCCCGGGCGAGAAAAACTGAACACGTGAGATCGAGGCAAAGTGTGCCAGGCCGGTCCAAGATGGCGTCCAAACCGTGAAATCGCATGGCATACAGAAAGGTTACTACGTCGTGTTCGGTACACGAATAGTAGGCGTTCTCCTTCGTCGAACGCAAATGTTATCTCACTGAAATTTATCACATGAACAAATCGCACAAATAGAAAACTTTTTCTCACATCGTGTACCACTGGTATGAGTTGCATCGTGGTCCCTCGCGCTGCGTTAAAACTAATAGTCAGGTTTTTGCAATAATTCATGCCATGGACTTTGGTTCGTCACATGACGATGAGGTTTAACATTTACAACAAAAGGGCTGCCTTTAATGTGTGCACCTCGCAAGCACACGGACAATGTCAATTTACCACACAACTTGTCGACAGTATATTCTGCCAAGTAAGTTCCATCCTTTCGGTCGTTTAAATCTACCTTTATTTCTTCTCCTCCCACAGCTGGCTTCAGTTTCACCTCATACACGTCACCGCCGAGCTTGCGTTGACAGTTTTGGATGTCGCGAGAAGTAATAGTGAATGTCGCCTTCCTTCCAGGGATTGCAGTTGTTATTCCCGGGCCAGTTGCAATGGTGTTTGCTGCATAGGTTGATATGTCATTGATGTCGCCAACTCTCTTGATAGCTTCCTCTATACTCATTTTGGGATGGTGAGAAGATGACTGAAAGAGATCGTTGCAGTAAGTCCCTCCCAATTTTATATTCCTTACAAATTCAATTTTTAAAAGCCTATTAATCTTTCACTTGATATTCTGTTTCTTAGCTGTTTTATTTAATAATACTGAAATCAAATAAAGAATGATCCTCGCAGTTGTGAACGCAATTAATGCAATTGCGTAAGAATCCTGAAAAAAAATTCAGAACTTTAACGGGGTTTGAACCCGTGACCTCGCGATACCGGTGCGATACTCTAACCAACTGAGCTATGAAGCCACTGATGTTGGGAGCTGGTAAATTATGTGTTGTTATGTTCTCGTGAAAGGCTATGAATGATAGAGATGTATATGAAATAAATCATATAAGAACTGCGGAAATGAAACAAAAAATCTTTCACGGGAACATATGAACACATAACTGACCAGCTCCCAACATCAGTGGCTTCATAGCCGTTCTTATATGATTTATTTCATGTACATCTGTCAAATAAAATTGACTTGCGACAACCACATTTTTTTCTTAAAAGCAACTATTAAATGAGTTCGTAAAAAAAGATATTTTTGAACTGAGAAATGCATTTTGGTGTGTGTACTCTAATAGATCATTGGCAACGACCAATCACTGTACGTAAAGCTGGCCCACGCATCGTCTTAACCATTGGTATAGTCTAAATAAAACGGACACAATCGTAGACTTTCTTCAGATGATCTTCAAGATTATAATTCAAAACCTTCAGACTAGCAATACAGCTTCTCAGAATAACAAGCAGAGACAAATTCAGAAAACATTCAGAATCTTCGAGCAAAAGAAAAGTTCGTGAGGGGTGGGATTTTCCCACAACGAAAACATCTGGTACTGACGTCATACTGAGTCCTAGTTTCCCACATAGTCTATACAAGCGGTGTGGAGTGACTGCGATATAGGCAACGCACGTTGCATCTACCATATTGTAAAAAGAGATATATAATATTTCTCCATTTCTGATTGGCTCAAATCCTCGGCAAATTCTTCACAACTACTGTAGTTAGCGTTGACCAGATTTAGACGACGTTTGCGATATCCCCAAAAAGAGGTATCAATGGTGCAGGATAACTGCAGAAAAAGGTAGACAACCGTGACGCCCTGGGGAAGAGGTTGTGTTTGCTCAGCTCAGGCTCTTTTGGTAGAGCTGGAGAATAATGGCGGAAAATTTCACACTTTTTGCGAGATATAAACATTTTAACTACAGCCTAAAAACATAGCAAGAACAGGACTAAATACTATTCGACGAATATGGTCCCAGATCGGCGCTTTGTGCAGCTCGTTCTCTCTTAAAGAAAAAAGTCTGAGACCAAGGTAGATAACTGACTGCTACCGTAAAATTTCGACAATAAGCCCCTCCAAATATAAGTCCCCCAAACTCGTAACGCAAAAAACCCTCCAGTAAATCTCGGTCTCTCCGAATATAAGTCCCCCGGGGGCTTGAACTTGGAAATTGCCCTCAAAGACAAAGTAAAACAAAGCAAAAACGGTACAGTAACATATAACATTTTGTATTTGCCAAAGAACCATTAACAGTGCCAAACGATTGCAGTCAGAAAGTGTCACAGTTAATTGCTGTTTGCGTAGTTCACTCTTCACTCTTGGCTTGGATTTCCTCGGTCCATAGACAACTTACTTGCATGGCTGCGTTTTAGAAAGGTCTACGTCCTCAAGGCGAGTTTCAGTAAAACTTTTCTGCAAATTACTGACATAGATTTCCTTCAACTATAAGCTAGCCCAATCGATTTTCAGACAGCAATTTCCTTCCGTATATAAGCCCCTCCGAATGTAAGCCCCTCAAAAAGGGCCTTTGAAAACTATAAGCCCCGGGAATTTTTTCTTCATCCCGAAGAAAAGAATGGTGCCCGAAGAGAACCGTTAGTCTGGTCCAAGGCTAATTTAGACTAAGTCAAAATTTTAATTCTTACCATTCTGTCCTTTTTTTCCTTGGTGAATTCCATCAAAAACTGTGCCTCTGGCTCAAGCACCACTGAGTAGTTCTCTTCGGCCTCGAGCATGGACACTATATCCGGCCTGCTCAGAAGGAACTGAACATCGCTTGGAGATTGGATGGAGGACGTTGCTCGTTGGAGTGCATCCTCTAAACATTGTTGGCTAGCTGTTAAACGGTATATCTGGTACGTGAGTGTATTTTCCTTGTGTATTTGATAGCTGATTAATTTTTCCACCAGAGCATCCTCTCGTTTAGATAATGCGGAATGAAGCTAACAAGTATAAAAAAGAAAACACATACTGTTATATCCGCAGATTTATTCCAAACAAACAATCCAGATATCACAGATAAAAAACGATAGATAGGTGCATCCCAAGGTGTGTTCAGTGAATCAGTTCAATTGAATCATGTTCAGGTGGGCCTACCCTTAAATATCTAGCTAGTCCAACGGTCCTAGTTCATGATCCGCGATAAGTATTTCAAAATCACTGGTTTCTGCATTCCACGTTGAAGACATTAAATTTCAAAATTTTTTACTATTTTGTTTCTTTATTTAACTGCCAGAACATGAACCGTTATTCCGTAGATAAAATGACTGCTGATTGAAACTAGCACGTTGTTAGGAATACTGTTTGCTCCTTCTCCCTAATGAGAAATATATGCCTTACTTCTCTAAAAAAGCCTTCATTTTCAGCACGCCTTTCTCTGCAAACCTTCTCCATAAAATCGAATTCTTTCTCCACTTGATCTACAGCAGCTTTAATCTTTTCGACTTGAGAGCTGGCCTTGGTGGCAAGCACCTTCATTTCCTGTCGGTACTTTGAAGCAGCTTCAGCTACAATTACACACTTATGCCCGCTATGATTAAGGGCGTAACAGTCCCTACAAATAACACGACCACAATCGTTGTCGAAAAAACGGAATTGATCGTTATGTTCTGGACAGAGAACAGATACAGAAGCCAGCTGAGGGTTTGCTTTCAGCTCGTCGAGGGAAACAACCCGGTGGTCTCGACTTGTTTTGCTGCGTTTATGAAACTGAGCTGCAGTTTTGCAAATGTTTTCTTTGCAGTCCAAGCAAAAGAAAGTCGCGGAGTGTTTGTCATCACAAGCCTCACAATCGTGCGTGCCTGTATGTTCTGTATGTCCAGCTTGCTCTTTGGGTGCTTCCTTCACGATGTCCAGTAACGCAAAATTCTTTAACAGACCTTGGACTCCACTAGGAACTGTGACTGCATGTCTACATTTGGGACAATCAATGGTGTTACCATGGAGTAACCTTTCCAAGCAGCTAGAGCAAAAGCTGTGTCCACAACTCAGCAACCGAGGACATTTTTTTTCGTCATTGTAACTTTCATAACAGATTGAGCACTCCGGTCCCTTGAACGCCATTGTCTGAAATGAATGAAAAAATCAACATTTTTCACAAATGAATGAAGAGGTAATTAACATAACGATAAAAAATCAGAAAAAGGGCTCTCTCCAATTTGTCACGTTTTTGTCGACCCTCTTAAGCATTGTTTTCGCTGGGCAGTTTTCATTCCCCATGGACTCTCTTAGCCTCTTAGAGAAACCTTTTCACAAAAATTGTACATCATACTGCCATATTGTTACGCAAAGAGCAATGTTTCAGTTCACTTACGTTCAACTGGAGTTTTGAAAAATTAAAATAAAATATTATAAAAAATGACAAAAAAGATGAAATATGTTTGCAAAGATAAGACATACCGCACAGAAATACCTAGAGCAATACAAACTGATTCACTAAACATGATGTTATGAAGCAATATACGAACACTTACAGTAACAATTTCGAGTCAAAGTGCAGTATTCAAGTGATGTCACTGTGGTGACCTCTATAATACAAACACCTCTAATACAGACTCTTTGCTCTGTCCTTGCGGTCCGCAATTTTAAGTTTTGAAAGTTTCAAATTTAAGTGCCTTGAGGTTTTACTCTACTTGGCCCAGTTAACACACCCATTAACACACACGCTAAACAATATGATAGTTCTAATTAACTCATAACAAATAGTAAAACGGTTGTTACATTATGAAAAACCAGAGGTTTTAAGTACATTCAATAAGGCTTGAAGCTTTCCGCTCAAAACCTCTTGTATTTGAATATGACGCTGGATAGGTCGATTTGATTGCTCTTCAATTATGTTTTCTTCCACCACTGAATCGGCGCTGCACAAAGACCCAGCTTCATTAATCAATTTGTTATTGTCGTTGTTCAATGGAAAGCCGCTCGTTGCAGGATTCACTTAAGGTCCGTTATGGTCCGTTATGCATAGACTTGCGAAAGTGTTAAGAGGTGTAAAAGCTCTTCAAACACGCAACAAATCTGCTAATGGTTTTGAAAACTTACTCCTGCAAGGACTTGCAAGCCATTCTGAAAATTTTTAAGGTAAACTTTGTTTTTGTTGTTGTTGTTGTCACATAATCAGCTCGCCGTACGGAAGAATTAAGCTTATAATTTCTTTAAATTTGTAAGGAAACTTTGGAGTAAGATTAAATAATTTCAAACCAAAGTTTGTGGCTTTTCTGTCGCTGTCGGTATGGCAATTTCTGTTATTTTTTCTGTTGTTTCGTCGGTAGAAAGCTCGCGAAATCTACTTTTTCCACCGCTTTGTCCGAGAGAAATTTTGTTGTTTTCCATATCAGGTCAAACTGAGGTATATGAGCTGACAACCGAGATTGAGTGAACCAATCAGAATGCTAGAAATACATTATCCGAGGTTGAAAATTTAAATAAAATGACTGAACTGAGAACTTTTCCGTGTAGTCACTTAGGCCCGGTTTAGACGCCAAACTTTTCATGAGCCGAACCAAATTCGAATTAAGGCCGACCCAAATTATTTAGACCGGCTAAATTGATTCAGACGCCGATCTTAATTCCAGCCGAACTAAATTCAGAAGGCGAAAAATGCGCATTTCGGTCAAACTGCTTACAAAATACGTTACAAGAAGTTATGCATTAGGTTCGGTACATGAAAAGTTCGGCGTCTGAATCAAAGGCGTTCCAAAGTCGATCCAAAGGCGAAATTCCCGGCCGGGCAAGGCGGAAAGTGCGGCTGAGCCTTTCCAAATTGAAACAGGCGTTTCTAATTGATTCAGACGCCGAACTTTTCATGTACTTAATTCGATGTATTAGGTTCGGGTCATGAATAGGCTTTTGTACATTATGCTTTTGCTTCCCTACTAAAATGCTCCACCTTAATGCTCCATTTTTCCCACTAAAATGCTCGGGCTCCCCAAAAAAGTCACTAAAATGCTCGGATAATGCTCATTATACAAACGGTTTTTTTAAATTAATTTCAAAGTTTACACTTACAAAAACGTGCAAGTGTTGCAAGTAACAACGACAACGTGTACAAGTTCATAAATACAGCCAAAAAAACCAGCTGTATTAGGTTTTTTGTGAATTTTGAATTTTAGTCTTCATTTTGTTTAAAAAATCAGGAGCTCGTGGGGCATGGGCTCCTGAAAAAAGTTAATTTCTATTTTATTTTCGCGGAAAAATTAATTTTCTGGGGAAAATGCCACTAAAATGCTCGAATAATGCTCAATGCTTTTGCCTCACTAAAATACTCGAAAAAATGCTAGCATAATGTACAAAAGCCTAGTCATGAAAAGTACGGCGTCTGAACCGGGCCTTAAACCATCCAACCAGGTATTTAATAAGTATAGGTAATAGCATGATCTGTATTGATATTTGGCATAAATACCACGAGTGATATTTCAAAATTGTCATGCGTATTTTCACGAGCCGTTAGGCGAGTGAAATTTGAGACAATTTTGAAATATCACGAGTGGTATTTATGCCAAATATCACGTATAAATCATGCTATTAATTGTTTATACTACTACCCTTAGAAGGTTTGTAATTTTCACATGTAGGTATTTCAAATTAAGCTGAAATACCACTGCTCTAAGCCAATCAAATCGCAGAAATTTCTCATGTAGTAGTATAAACGCGGGAAAATGTAAGAAATATTATGATCCCATTTACGTAATATTAGCGTAAAGTACCGTAAATACTGATGGAAAGCTTACATTTAAATAACAAAGCAATATTTCATCCACAGATCTAGCTTTGACTGGATTTGGAAATGCCCTTATCGAGCTGACCCAGCAGAGCGAGCGATGGCAGAATTAGGTTGAATTAGTCGACTCTACTGCCTTACAGTAAACTTTACCTTGCAGTATTTTCATAAAAGAAGTTGTACGTACCTTTTGTAAGGCAAAAGGCTCACCAAAAGAACGTGTAAGAACCTTTTTGACCAGTATCTCTCCACCGCCAACACTTCTGCCTTGTTGTCGAACGACGAACTGTATCGTGCTTTTCGTGCCGGAGCTGTTGGCCGAGAAGGATTGGTGCACTAAATTCCAGTCCTCACTCCTCATGCCGCCTATGTAAATAGATTATCCCAATCTACTTTAATAGCTAAAGGATAAAACTAGTGGTAAACTCTCCAATGGTGCTGTAATGTCCTTTGCCTTTTGACGTCACCACAACATTAAAGATTTCTATTATGAACAATTTGGGAAGCGCAATTTAGTTTTCAAGGCGTGCCCAGACGCTTTCTTCCCGGCTTAGGGATCCGTTTTCTGTAGCCTACTTTGATCGAGTCGCTTTATTTTCTGACATCATCAAGTTCCACAAGTTACAGTATCATTTATACGCTGATGATACCCAGGTATATATATCTTTTAGAACCGACTGTAGCTATGATCTCTCTTTGGCCACGTTTGGCTAAGCGTCGTGTCGAATGCTGTGTAAACGACATTGATTGTTGGGTGGTGAGCAATGGTCTTAAACTCAATCAGGATAAAACTGAACTTGTTCTCATCAGCTCAAAATTTCGTTGCAGGCCTTCTCTAGAGTTTATCCAAGTGGTTGATGAAGAGATCCAACCCAAACCTTCCGCCCGAAATCTGGGGGTGATTAAAGATCAGAGTCTTGATTTAACCGACCATGTTAACAAAATCTGCGTTTCCTGTCAGTATCATTTAAGGAACATAGCTAAGATCAGGAAGTACTTAAGTGAAGATACCTCTCAAATTTTAGTACATGCGTTTATTAGCTCTANCTTTCTTCCCGGCTTAGGGATCCGTTTTCTGTAGCCTACTTTGATCGAGTCGCTTTATTTTCTGACATCATCAAGTTCCACAAGTTACAGTATCATTTATACGCTGATGATACCCAGGTATATATATCTTTTAGAACCGACTGTAGCTATGATCTCTCTTTGGCCACGTTTGGCTAAGCGTCGTGTCGAATGCTGTGTAAACGACATTGATTGTTGGGTGGTGAGCAATGGTCTTAAACTCAATCAGGATAAAACTGAACTTGTTCTCATCAGCTCAAAATTTCGTTGCAGGCCTTCTCTAGAGTTTATCCAAGTGGTTGATGAAGAGATCCAACCCAAACCTTCCGCCCGAAATCTGGGGGTGATTAAAGATCAGAGTCTTGATTTAACCGACCATGTTAACAAAATCTGCGTTTCCTGTCAGTATCATTTAAGGAACATAGCTAAGATCAGGAAGTACTTAAGTGAAGATACCTCTCAAATTTTAGTACATGCGTTTATTAGCTCTAAACTCGATAACTGTAGATCTTTGTTATATGGACTTCCTAAACACCTGTTAAGCAGGTTAAGACTGATACAAAACACTGCTGCACGCATTGTTACATTATCTAAGCGGTTTGACCATATCACTCCTATCCTGTTCAAACTTCATTGGTTACCGCTAAATTATCGCATACATTTTAAAATTTTACTCTTAGTTTACAGATGTCTAAATGGCTTGGCACCAACTTACCTATCCGAACTTTTACGCGACACTAATGGTCCACGATTACTTCGTTCTAGTTCCCAGAATTTTCTAGCCGTGCCTAGGACTAGGTTAAAGACGTATGGTGATAGGGCTTTTTCCGCAGCTGCTCCAAGGTTATAGAACCAATTGCCCCCTGAACTCAGGAGTGTTACATCTGTCGACCAGATCAGGACGCAGTTGAAGACATACTTATTTAAATTAGCCTACGATGTTTGATTTTAGTAGCTTTATTCAATTTTTATTTAATCTTATAATAATTTTAACTCTAGTTCCTTACCACACAGCGCTTTGAGCAATTAGTGGATACCGCGCTATATAAGTGTCTATTATTATATTATTATTATTATTATTATTTGAGTTACTGGACCAGGTTTTGCTCCCTATAGCAGTAGTGCCTTTTATATATTGGAATTAAGCTTTAAAAAAACATTTTAAAAACACTCACTGCGAATTTTATGAACAATTTTCTTGTCGGAAATGCATGTTTCCCATGCAAAGCCTTGGAGTAGAATGCGAAGTTTGTCTGAGTCACGCGGGGGGTCTAAGGTG